GATGTTTAGGGTCTGGACCCTTCTTCAGAAACATTTCTGAAGAAGGGTCCAGACACGAAACGTTAGCTTTCCTGCTCCTCTGATGCTGCTTGGCCTGCTGTGTTCATCCAGCTCTACACCTTGTTATCCTGACTTGGGAACTGTTTTGATATACCTTTAGTATGATATACCTACTCTAGACTGGCAGTTCAGAATGTGGTACCTCTACATCAACTCAAGGATAATTGGGGACGGTCCTGGCTAGTGACACCCACATCCTGTGAATGAATAAAGGAAAGGGAAAAATATTTCTACAAAGAATTGCACAAAGGCTTTCTTCAAACTGAGCTCTACAAGTAAATTTTGAGTATGTGAGGGACAGCTTTTTATTGTCACCAAAGACTCCAACAAACAAATTAAATACCTGCATATTTAATAGAAATTCAGTTTGGCTGCAAGGAAGTATTTAGCACAATAAACAGCTTTTAAGTAATTTAATCATAGTCTAGTGTGATAACAGGATAATGGACCAGCAAACCTCAATGAAAGATGTGTTAAAATAACACACATGCTATCCCATCCAACCTTCAATGTTGCCTGATGATACCCACTTTAAGGAATACAAAAGTCAATTTCCCAATGGGGAATTAGTGCTTGGCCATCTATTTTCCTACATTCCTGTCCCATTGTTGTCCATATTTGTCAAATCTGCCGCTTGGATCTATGTTAGCTCAGTTTTGCATCCTGCAATCTGGATCTTTAGGTGTCAGGTTGCTCTGCTGTTATTTTAAGCACTGTTTACAATTTGATACTGTTGCTACTTGAAAGAAATTCTGCATTGTGATATGCAAAGAACAAATAATCAGAATTTATCAGCAGTGGAAGTCACCCGCATCAGTACATTTCTTGGAATCAGTTTATAGGCTAGGAAAAAGAAGAAAATGCAGGAAAAAGGGAAGGGAAATACTTCAGGAGCATACTTTTTAAAAACCCTTTTTTCAAAAAGAAAATCTTGGACACTAGATAATATTACAGAATTTTATCTGCTTTTGGCTCACTATTAAATGTTAAAGCTATCTCTGATCAGCAAAAAAAAGTGTCTCTTCAATGACTGTGAAACCAATTAAGCACTTGTCCATTGAAGAAAGCAGTGAACCAATCTGGGTGTCCCTTTTACACAATGTGAACTGTTCTTATAAGCCCAGTAAATCACTGTGATTCATTCTTCTCTGTAATGTGGTCATTCAAACTAAGCAATAAAAGTGAAAATTGCTGAAACTTTCTGAAAAGAATTGCACAAAGTGCTTGCAACTCCTCAGCTAGAATGTCCACACAATTTACCTCCCACTAGTGTATAATTCACACATAAAAGCCCTGGTTTGTAATTTGTGTTGGAGATTACAGCATGCAGCATCTTGCTTTTTTTAAGAAAAGATTCATTTTCTGCACCAGCTGATGTATTTCTATACAGAAATAACTGCAAAGTCGAAGGAACACAACTGTGAAATTTTTTTTGCTTTCTGTGAGTCTGAAAAGATTGCTTCCCCTGTCCATGTCAAGGTATTAAACGGCTGATGGATTCACGGCATTGAACCCAGCAGTGGCCTGGTGAACAGTGGCAAGTACCATCAGAGCCACATCATGTAAAGTGAAAGAATCAAGATCTCTATAATTTGTCTGGAGATGGTGAAATGAGTGTTAATCTCAAAATTTCTCCCATTCTCTGTTAACACTAGCCAAAAATCCATTCAAATGCAGTGAGGAAATACACCCTCACTAAATTTACAACTATCCCTTTAGGCAGAGTTGACTGTACGCAAGGAGGAAACAACATAGTTTCTGAAATGAAACATTTCATTTTTAGGCTTTGGGTGCTCTGGTAAGGCCAACATTTATTGGCCATCCCTATTTGCCTCTGAAAAGGTGGTGGTGAGCTGCCTTCTGGAACTGCTATTGATCTGGTGTAGGTACACTCTCAATGTTCTTAAGGTAATGCCAGGATTTGACCCAGTGACAGTGAAGTAATGGCAATATAATTCCAGGTCAGGATGGCTTATGACTTGGAGGGGAACTTACAGGCAGTTGATGCATCTGCTGCCATCATTCTTCTAGGTGGTACAGATCACAGTCAAAGCTAAACAAATGTTGCACATTATCTTAAAACAAATCCTGTTCAACGGAGACTTTTTTCTTTAATATTTTGATCTAATTTTAAAATATTTTTTTAAACAATCTGTTCAGATGTTATTACGCACCTCTGGGTAGGTGGGATTTGGTTGGCTTGGAGGTAAGGTCAATACCACTGTGCCACGACAGTCCCCAAGCTGTTGTTTTTATGTTGCACTATAATACTCTGCACTACCAACTGAGCTATTGATGATAAGAGATAACAAGGTGTAGAGCTGGATGAACACAGCAGGCCAAGCAGCATCAGAGGGGTAGGAAAGCTGACGTTTTGGGTCTGTACCCCTCTTCAGAAAATAGCTAATGATGGAGAGTTTTAGTATTGAGAAAAGTTTAATAGAATTAGCTGGTTTCCATTAGAGTTCAGAAAATTGAGAGGTGGCTCTATTGAAGTGAATAAGATCCTGAATGGTATTGAGAAGTTGGACATGGAAGGGTACTTCCTCTGTTTAAAAATTAGGATCACCCTTTTAACACAGAAATGGGGATTTTTTTCTCAAGGATTATGCAGCTTTGGAACTCTTTGCCACAGAGGGCAGTGGAGGTGAGGTCACTGAATATTAACATTCTTGTTAGGCAAGGGAATCAAAGGTTCAGGGATAGATGGGAATGTCGAGTTTGAAACATAAATAGATCACTGATCTGGAGATAGTAGGAACTGCAGATGCTGGAGAATCTGAGATAACAAGATGTAGAGCTGGATGAACACAACAGGCCAAGCAGTATCAGAGGAGCAGGAAAGCTGACGTTCCTGCTCGGCCTGCTGTGTTCATCCAGCTCTACACCTTGTTATCTCAGATTCTCCAGCAACTGCAGTTCCTACTATCTCTGAAACATTTCTGAAGAAGGGTCTAGGCCCAAAACATCAGCTTTCCTGCTCCTCTGATGCTGCTTGGCCTGCTGTGTTCATCTAGATCAATGATCTCACTAAATGTCCTCCTTCTGCTCCAATTTCATATGTTCATACATTTTAAGAAATAAATCCATCAAAACAAAACATTGTGATTCAGTTCATCTTCTGTCAGTGAAAAGTCAATAATTTAACATGAGATCAACACAATGGTCAACAGACTATGATTAATTCTAAATTAGGAAAGTTTCAATGAATCACACCCATCCATGCCAGTTTTGCTAAGGGGAGGTTGCACCACACAATGGGAGAGCAGTGGAGAGCTGAGAAGGGTAGCTGTTGATAAGAGGCTTTCAGTACCTCTAGGCTGACTCCTTCACTATTTCACAATGGAAGTACTCTGCTGCCAATTTAGCAGCTCATCCCCTCACCTCCAGCTTTTTTGTTGTTTTGCAGTGAGTAAATTAATCCTGTGATGAATGAGTTTCCCTTTGGAAAAATTGTATTGTAATAAGATAGTCCTGAGTGTACAGTTTGAGAAAAATTGTCTTGCACGTACCAAATGTGTGTGAGTGTGTGTTATGTAATAAAAGAAGTACCAACTGTTCAGTCAAACACTCATTGATCACTTGGGGCAGTTTTAGCAAAATATAATTAGATAATCAGACAGATCATCACAGGAATCTAATAGGCAAGCAGCAAACTTGTGGAAAATGACCAATAATGAGAAAATAACAATTGAAGCAGTTGAAAACAAAGAACAAATAAGTCTTAAGAGGAGCAGCACTTCATTTGGGAACCGTTAGTGGTGGGACACCCCAGCACAGACAGAGGCCACCATATAGTGGTAATTACTGTGTCAGAGGTCATTAAGATCAGATTGATTGCCGCATGTTAGCACTATTAATACTGTATTGTCAGTGTCTGCTGGCACCTGTGCTGACAAAGTGAAAAAAAAGAGCTGATTGAAGGATTTCCGAACTAATTGAAATCAAAATGATCATAGATATTTGGTAAAGCACTATAAGCTTCATGAGCAGAAAATGACATTTAAAAGATCCTACTTTATTGAGTTAAATTTGCACAGGTTTTTCAGAATTTCAAAATACGTAATTCAGCGACGCCCAGTCTTTGCAGGTTAACTGCACTGGACCAGCTTTCAATCTGAGAAGTCCACCACATTTCTTTTTCCTCCAAAATGTGCTTTCACATGATTTGTTGCAAAGACTGACAGCACTCACAGCTATTGAATCACTCGAGAGTAGTTTCACTTCTAACAGGCCATTGTTGCAATTTGATTTTGTCTATGTGGAAAGTCAACGAGTGAGCCTTACCTGAGTTAGTAAACAGGACTCTAGCAGATCAATTCTCGAATTGCTACACAGCTCAGGCGAGGAGTGGAGGTGGTGAGGTTTAGGGTAGTCTCTGTCAGGGAAATATGTGTTGTATTTTGGGGGTTTAAGATAAGGAGGAGGAGAAGACAATGATCAGATAGTGGTGTTTTTAGGTTTTAGGGTCCTTTTAGTGGAGGAGATTGTCCTGAGAGCATGGGGAGGGATGTCATGCTATTCTCGGCATTTTCTCTTTCATGTATCACATAATTTTAGTCCAACAGTTTTTGTATCACAATGCTGAGGCGATCCTACAAATACTGGAACTCTGAGATAAACAAATTAACCCTTTGAAATAAACATCCTTCACCATAATGTCAAGACTTGTTGAACCCATTACAGAAACAATGCACCACTTTTTAATCACAAGTAAATTACAAGTTTAATTTTCTAAAAGTGAATGTTTGAAATATTAAATACATCTGCTCAATTGTAATGGTTATTTTTATATCACCACCTGTTCTAAATGGATCATTACCGATGACTGACCAGTTAACCTGTAAATGTATTAAACTCAATTTCCTAAAACCACCTGCTTTGAACAACTTCAACAACTGAAACTAGTGCTCAGTCCCAACATCCAATCTGCCACAGTCCATCAGTGTATGTAGAGACATGGGCCGTTCAACCCTGAAGAACAGAAGGCATATGGGAAGGGGAAAGCAAAACCTGTGAATCATTTAACAATTGGATATTTCAATGGAGAGCCAAATAACCATATCTATCCACCATTGTCTTGTGTGACAATATAAATTCCTCCTTTGGCTGGATCCGTATTTGTATAACAAGGATAGTCTATTGTAACAGAGGTGAAGCCTACTCACAATCCTTGTGTGACCGAGATCATGTTGAACTTGAAAATCAACTACCATTTTCAATCCAGAGGAGCCGCAGGGTTTGTCAAAACTAGTATAAGGAATCTGTGGTTTTGCAGATTGGGACTGATTAGGTCAAAGGCTGAACTAAGCCTTTAATCCTTTAAGGTGCAACATAGCAAAGTCATTCTTAAAAGCACAGCTTGCGATGGTCAGGATTTTCAAACAGCACCCTGCTCAATAATTGCTGGGAAATGAATGAGCTCAGTCCAAACGTTTGACCATGTAGGGTCCTTCCAATTCATAACCAATCTTCCTGTAGTAATTCCTTGTACCAACACCTGGAAAAGAAAAGAAATCTCATCAACAGAAACTCAAGATGATGATACGGGTGTTTCATCACCAGCTATTTCACTGGCTCAAACCCCACCCACCCTCGGTGCCGGTAACCGGCTCAAACCCCACCCACCTCGGTGCCGGTAACCGGCTCAAACCCCATTGGTTGTTTTTCAGTTACACTGGCTCACACTTCACTGGTTGAATGGAAGGTTTATAGTTAGAGATTACCTTCTCCACTACAAGTACATGAGTGGGTTATATTTGAGAAGACATGGAGTGCCACATCATTATGTTAATGTCCAGCAGTATTTCTTGCTGTGAACTCTCATTGCGTATGGAGTGATGCCATTACTGGACTCCCAGTCCAAGTGCTAAACCCAGCAGGGTCTGTGCACAAAACATGAAGCAGTGTCGAAAAATACATGCAAATTTTGTCCTGTTGAGTACCCATATCCATCCATTCACTTCTTCAACACCTCGCACAGATATTCAATTCATACACATTACGTTGATGAGTAAAACAAAGCAATTGTGGTATCGAGGTATAGAAATCAGACAAAGCTAATGCACATGTAGGAAGAGTGTTCAAACATTTTACTGTAATGTTGTCCTCTCTCTCTCAAGGGATTTGGAATACGGAGGAGAAAATGATTCTTCAGTTGTACAGAGGTCAGTTGGTTGGACTCATGTAGAGAACTGCATTCAGTTCTGGGCAAATCACAGTTTATAATGATAAAGGAATTAGACAGAGGGAAGTTCCTTTCTTTAGTGTTTTAGAGCCAAAAGGGAAATCGGGAAATACATCTTTATACAAAAGGCTATGGAAATCTGAAACTCTCTCTGAAGTGCAATGGATGATTAGAGCCTTCAAATCAGAGATTAGTAGGTTATTGTTAGATAGGGATATCAAAGGACTTGGAGCAAACAAGTTAAAAAGGGAGTCAAGATGCAGATCAGCCATGATCCAACAAGATTGATCAGGCTTGAGGGCCTCCCTTCCTGTTCTCACAAGGAGGCAGCTTTCTGCCCCACAATCACACACCACGGTGTTCCTACTCATCCAGCAGCAGTCTCTCAGGTGGCAGCTGCAACCACATGACTAGGACAAATCCAATTCCGAGCTCTAAGGTAAGCCACGTCCACCCCAGTGACAGCTCCTTCAGTGTATGGAAAGGAACCCGAAGGTCAGCACTGCCTGTAGAAACTCTGCTCAATGAGTAACTGCTGTCAAGAAAGGCGATGGGTGCAACAATCAGAAAGATCATGAGGAGGAGGAAAATAAAAGATCGATATTATTAGCAGACATCTGTGTTTCACAATAAACCATAAAAACACAGCAGAGACAGCAGTTAATCTTCCCGCGTAGAGGATATTAACATTTACTGGAATTATATTGACGCAAGCACCTCACACGCCAGTGAACACAGGAAATTTAGCATCTGACAGAGGCAACACATTAACCCCAACAGTACATAGGCATCTTCCAGCTTTCAAAATGCATTTTGCATATTGATTTATAGTCATTAGCAAACCCAAAAATATGTGTATATATACATACAAGCGTATTGGTTTAAATTGTGAGCAGTACCTTTTGCTAAAATGCCCTTTTACACAATGCTGGATTCAGGCTGAAGGTTTTTCTCTCTCTGCTGAATTAAAGGATCTTTTTCTAAATGAGTTTGGGCACTCCTAGCTCAGTTCCACATGGTTATTATTTTGGTGAGATATAACACAAATTCTTGCTCCCAAAAACCAGGAATCCTGTACGTTAATTGAAACTTTCAAGACAGAGAACAATAGATTTTTGCTAGACAAGAGTATTAGAGAACATGGAACAAAGAGACATAAATGGAGATACATAATAGCAAAGATCTAATTGGATTAGTGACTAGGCTCAGGGAGTCCAAACCTGGTATTTCGAGTAAAACCCAAATAATTAATTGTACAAACTCTGTTTATAAGAAAGTCAAAGTCTTGGAAAGAAGTGCAATAAGAGATTTATTAGAATGCTATTGGGGATAAGTTACGTGGAAAAGTTGGGATTATTCTCCTTAGAACAGAGAAGGTTGTGAATTACAACTGGTTTTGATGAGGAAAATCTATCCAGTCGTGTAAGGGTCAGCAACCAGTGGATGCTGTGAATTAAAGTGATTGACAAAAGAACCAAATGTAACATGAGAATTCTTTTAATTCTATGAGTTGAAGTAGAGTGAATGGCAACATTCAAAAGAGAACCATATAAACTTACAGGGCTACGGGGAAAGAACAAAAAATGGTTTTAATTAGATGGCTCTTCCAAAGAACTGGCATAGGGTATAATAGGACAAATGGTTTTGTTGTGCTGCAATAATTCCATGATAAACACAATTGGAAAATAATGAGCTTTAACTGTGTGAAATACTAAAAAGTTCATCAATTTACATGGTTGGACACAATGCTGGTTCAGTCACTGCTCCAAAGGGTTGTGAATACTAACATTATTTGGTGTTACAGAGCTTTCTACAGGGTAAAACTTCAGAGTTACTGATGGAGAATCAACTAGGGAATCTGTATCACAAGGTCATTAATCATTGCAATTGTAACATCTGCCAACCCTTATCTTGTAATTACACAAGGCATTCTGAGTCACAAGGACCCCTTGAACCCAAATGTAATGGAGAGTATCGTCATATACTGCGTCATTATGTAAATTTGCTCCCTCCCCATTGGGAGGGAGTTGGGGGGGAAGGGAACCAAGAACCAGCCTGAGGACGTCCATCCTACTATCTATAGCTCTACGCTTCCAAACTCTGCATAAATATATATGTATCAACTTGCAGGTCATTGTGTCACAAGTGCAGTTATCTTGTTTTTGAAGCGTAGATTCAAGGAATTACCTGATGCAAAACCTCCTCCTTCCTTTCACAGCTCAAGCATCACCGTTTCAATTCATTTTCACACCAGCAGCTTTGGATGAGAAACTCAACTAGATTCATTCAGTTCATCCAAAATCTCCTGGCAGAATTTTCTATGTTCACTACTTTATTTCTCATTTATATACATATTTATATCTCGCAGACAGGGGGAGGGAATGCAGGCTCTGAAGGCACAAGTTCTTTAGGACATTTTGTTCTATTAGAGACATTCATTACATAAATGCAATTTACTGTTGAAATGCTTGCCATTGTTCATCTTTTAAATGACTATTCTGGCTCCTTTGATAGCTTAATGGCTTGTCAAGTTAGGAGTTGAACCACGTGCACCAGGTCTGTCATTAAAAGAAAAGGCTCAACTAGCTTCCTAAGGTCATTTAGAAAAAAAGAACACATCACTCACAACAGCTGGTCTGTTCTACACGTGACTGCAGTCTCACATAACGCAGCTGACTAAATGCCCGTTGCTGTGGACTCGTAAGTCACCCAGTTCTAAGCAGTTCTTATAAAATTCAGTAAGAACAAGAAGATTGCACAGACCCATCATTGAGGATCCAATAAATGGATCCTTGTCATTACCATCTAAATCCCAAGAGCAACCAAGAATAAAATAATAGGATTCAGCCTGACAGACAGTATGCATAGGTGAGCTGCCTAACAGCAAGTGATGTGGAATTGGGTAGTATAATAATTCAATGAACCATTAGGAGAATGGAATGGTTTTACTCTTCTGGAACAATCTCACTCAACAAAGTCAAGCAGATTGGCAGCTACAATCTATTCCCTCTGAATACATTTTGATTGCTTGTAACTCTGTTGTTAGTGCACAGTGACTCCTCAGGTTTACTCCTGATAATCTATTCCATTGTTTTGCATGGAATTGAAGAAAGATTAATATTTGTGGTTGCCTCTGTGTAATTTATCATCCTTTTTGAATCCAAGCTATTTAACCTGTTTCCAATCCACTGACATCTCTTCAGCACCCAGACTCTCACATAATGAACCTCAATGCCTCAAGTCCCATCCAGCATCCTGAGTTAAATATTACTTTTCTCACTAAATCTTTATAAATCAATGGTTAACCTGCAGCTGGAATACTGCGGATAATTCTGGGCACCAGTTGGGAAGTATGTCAATGTCTTAGGAAGGATATAGAAGAGATTTACTAGAATGGTAATAGTTACTGGGCTAATGAGATATAAACCATTTGCATTCAATGCACGGTCGTGTTCCTCAATTATTAACTAGAGATTTTCCATTAAAAATGCAACTAATTTTCAAATATAGGAACAAGTCTCAAAGATCTCTGGCAGAGAGAGGATATGCTTCAGGTAATGTGAGGTAGGAGGCTTGTTTAAAATCACTTGATTAATTTATCTGTGTCTTCAGCATTTTCATGCATGATATAGAAGATTGGAATTATGGAATTTATAACACAGGTGGCATCCATTTCACATATTTTGCATGTGTGAGATCTTTGTAAGATCACCCAATTTAGTCCCACACCCCAGTCATTTTTCCAATAACCCTGACAATTTGTTCAAGGCGCATGTCAATTATCTTTTGAATCTGATGACACCACTCTTTCAGGTGGTGTGTTGCTTATCTTAATAACCATACAAGAAAAAAATTCTCATTTGCTCTCCACTTGCTTACCAGTTATTTTTGATTAGGGTTATTGATCCACTTGCCGGAGAAAACAATTTCTTCCTTTCTACTTTGTCATAACTTCAAATACTTCTGTTAGGTCTGCCCTTATCATTGCAGCTCTAAGGAGAACAGTCATAGTTCTCCAGTCTCTCTCCACATAATTGTACTGTGGCATCATCCTGCTAAACCTCCTCTACATCCTCTCCAAGGTCTTGACATCCTTCCTAAAATGGATGGTAACCAGAATTGTACATAATGCTCTAGCTGAAACCTGACTAATGACCTATAAGAGTTTGACATGAGGTCTTTACACTCAGTGTTCTTACTTGGTGTCCCACGTGCTTTCTTAACCATCTCATCACCTTGCCCTAATTATAAAAATTTCTATTTTTTTTCCCTCCTTTCCACTCCTTTTACATCACAGCCTAAATCATACATTT